CTCCCTGCAAGCAGAGACCCATGAATGACATGAAATGCTCCTTTTCCCTTCCTCCTCACGGGCTCAGTGAAAGGGAACATGTGCTCCCGCAGATGGAAATCGCTGCCTCCTGAAACAACACGCAGCGCTAAATACTCAGGGGTACGAGCTGCTCCCAGCATTGATTTCTGCAGATAATTATTTCCATTAGTGCCTCCTCAGAAGAGGAGTTAAGGAAAACAAAAAGATTATTTATTTATTTATTTATTTATTTATTTATTTCTCTCAACCGACAAAACAACAAAAAAAGCAGCAGGGACAAAGAGCATTTTAAAAACCAGCTTGGTTTTGTCTCAGCTTTTTTGGAGGCGTGCATGGGTTCCTGGCGGGGGGAAAAGCCAGCTGCCCTGGGGTGTGTGCGGTGCCTCCCGAGCCCAGCTCCTGCCGGGCAGCGCTGCTCCCTCCCGCCCGCACAGCATCCCTGCCCTCCCCCGGCCCCTCCTCGCACAGCACGCCGTGGGATTTCCGACTGGGAAAAATGCCTGTTCTGCGACTGGCTTTTTGCAAATATTAAAATGAATATAATGTGTGTTGCGTTAGAAACTTTTGCTGTGTTAATTTTCTTAAGTAGTGTGGTAAATATAGTTTTAGGTTATGGCAAAATGTTGAAATAGAAACTATTTTATGCTATGTAGGATACTTTTTTTTTTAAAGAAAGGGCTCGCTGTGAGATAGCAGCCACAGGACACCTAAATTTTTCAGAGAAAGAGAATTTATTGCTCCATTATCAGAAGAAACGCACTTCTTCCTGCCTTGCTCGGGTCTGAAGATGCCATCAGGATTAAGAGAAAGAAGTTGACACTGACCAGACAGAATCCTGTGTTTGAATGGAATTTATGCATCATGTATGAGGTGAATGAATATGCAACAGGTTATTGTTTTTAAGGGTTAATCCTCTGTTAACATGGGTCCTTTCTTGGGCTTTTGCTTCCCCAGAAAAAGTACCCGGACTGTCTGTAACTCTTAGTTTCTATTGTCTCATATTGTCCTAAATCCAAATTGTCCAAATTTTTATTCCTCTAATTATATTGCTATTTTTATAAACACTTGATTACTATTAAACTTTTAAAATTTCAAAAACGAGTGATGGGCATTTTTCACTCCGACCATCCCGGCGGGATTCAGCAGCCACCTCTGCCATCCCTGCCAGGACACCCACCACGTCAGGCTGTCACCAGCACTGTCACCCTGTTTGTCTAGGCCAGCCCAGACTTTGCTCCCCACATGCACATTCAATGACTTTGCTCCCCACATGCACGTTCAATGACTTTGCTCCCCAAATGCACGTTCAATGACTTTGCTCCCCAAATGCACGTTCAACGACTTTGCTCCCCAAATGCACGTTCAACGACTTTGCTCCCCACATGCACGTTCAATGACTTTGCTCCCCACATGCATCTTCAACGACTTTGCTCCCCAAATGCACGTTCAATGAGTTTGCTCCCCACATGCACGTTCAATGACTTTGCTCCCCAAATGCATGTTCAATATTCATCACCCCTGCTCTCTCTCCCGCTGTCCAGGGGCCGCAGAGCCGCGGGGGTGAAATCACGAGCGGAGCCAAGGGGGATTAAGGCTGTGGGAAGATCACAGCTCCCTCCTCGCTGGTGCAGCAGGAAATTAAATCGGTGTTGCCTCTGCTCTGTTCCCTTGTTTTCGGCAGCTGCCACCAGCAGAGCGCTGGGGGCTGCACATGGGCTGTGCTTTCAGGGGTTTTAAATTAAACCATCTGGCAGGGCTGGTACTCAGGGCTGCGGCTTCTGTCTGCTGCTGGTGAGTGATTCAGGGCGCACTGGACAGGCAGGGATCAGTGCACATCCTGCAGGATACAGCAGGAGTATTCTTTTTTAAGGCGGGTTTGCTGCCACTCGCCCTGGCAGACAGTGGGGTGCCAAGCTGGAAACTGGCAAACTTTGCTGGATTTCTCCAATACTAAAGCTGCCAGCAACTAGGAACCTGCAAGCCCTTAGTGTCCCAAACACCACCTCTGTGCTGATACCCAGACCCAGGCAGCTCCTGGAGGCGAAGGCTTTGTCCCCAAAATGCCTTGGACACAGCAAAAAGCTCACCCAAGACAGGAGACAGGTGCTCACCAGGGACACCAGGGAATTGCTCTTTTCCAGCTCCCTGGCCAGCGTGAGCTTTTGGAGGAAGGGCACAGTAGGTGACCACAATCCATGGGCAGAGCTCCTTGGGAGAAGGCAAACACAGCGTTAGGACAGGGAATTAAAATAATGAGCACATTTGTGAGAATCTGCCCGAGGGAAAATAGTTCAGAAAATTAAAAACTCCATAGTAACAGACCGAAAGCTGTTAACCAACATCTAATTAAGCAAAAACTGCAATCCCCACAACAAAACAAGAAAAGGAGGAAAAAAAAAATTATGCAGCAACCAAGCTTATCCAGACCAAAACAACTAATAAGGAAATAAAAACAAAAAAACTCTGTTCAGTGACATCTGAAGAGAAAAAAGCCTGACAGGACGTTACAGTGAGTAGGCAAAACCAGGGTAAAGTTGTATCCTATCAGATCTTGCTTTTTAATACCCATCAGAAGCAAAGGACAATCTCTAGGGTCCTCAAATATATTCCAATAAAATGCAGAGTAGAGACCACAGCTTGGATCTCTACGTTCCAGAGCAAAAGACCAAAAAGCAAAACCCCAAAATGCAACACACACAAAGGGAATCTAGAAACTCAGCAGAATCTCTTTATTGGTAAAGTTCAAAGATCATTTGGGGTATTTTGCACATTAAATTTCACGTTAATGCTGACAGGGTACAAAAGGAGGCGTTTTAGATGAGATATTAGGATAACAGCAGATATAGGCTCATGAAAGAAAAAGAATACAGCTTTTCTTAGCAAAACAGTTTTTATTACTTGCAGAATTTGTATTTATCACAATAGATCTACTCTGAACCTTACTACGCTAATAAGTAATGTGAAAGCAACAAAAGCTGTAATAAAGACTTCTATAATAAAAACAGGACAAGTTTGACCTGAATTTTCATGATTAATGTGAATATTTTCACTTCAAACCCCAACTGTTTCAGGCCAGTCTGGGTATCTGAGGGAAAAATCTGTCTGCATGATGAAGGTGGAAAAGCACAGGACTAACAGAATCACCAATCAGTCTAGAAGCCTTTGGACCACCTCAGATCTTCCTGTTCAAGCGATGTAGAAAACTCCAAAATGTACAATTAGTATACGAAGAAAGATTAGGAAAATGAAATCTGGAAATTGGTTTGAGGCATTGGAAAAAGAAAAAAGAATCAGATGCTTCCGTTGAGTAGCTACAGAATCTTAAACACAGCTTCCAGCTCATTGTATTGGTTTAAAAGACAGGTGTTGATGCCTTGAGGGGCTGCCTGGAACAGAGGCCAGACAGCGTCAAGGGAATTTAATAGGGATTTATTAAAAAGCCTTCAAAGGATGCACCTTGGGCAGTACAGCCAAGAGCCCAGCCACGGCTCCACCCAAGATGGATCCTGATCCTGAGTTTTCACAATTTTATAAGTTTTGGTCCATTTCCGTATTGGGATTAATTGTACAATCACAGCTCCAGGTGATGCAGTCCCATCCTCCCAGACTGCTCCCCTCAATTTTCTGTTATTTGCACTTTTTGGGTCTGAAGCTGCAGCTTGGTTCTCAGGCTGGAAAAGGATTACTTTGTCTGACTGAACTGTGAGGAGAACTTGAGAAGACTTTATATAAAGTTCATAATTATATACTAATGCAGTACAAATCTGGAAAATATGAAAGCTAAAACTTAAGGCATCGGTGTATGCCAAGGATATTGGAAAATACAACCCCCTTCCCTCCAAATTATTATAACTTTGGAATTACAGGGCTCTGAGGCCAAGAGATGGGTGGAAGAACATATATATATAAACATAATTTTATGTTTACTAGAACACAGGAAGGCAAACAAACAAAAACGACGCAAAAAGAGCACAAACGCTGTCCCAGCCTTTTCCCGCTGCTGCAGTTCCGCTCACTGCCAGCAGGGGCGCTGCTGGCTGCCAGCCGGGCAGGGCGCAGTGATTCCTCCACGCCGGCAGGGGGCGCTGTGCGGTGGCAGATGGGGCAGTGGCTGCCACGGGCGCCCCGAAGCGGCGGCGGCCGCAGCAGAGATGGCACCCCCGGCGTGGTGAACAAAGCACAGCAATGACCCCACAGCCTGCCAGGAGCCTGCCAGGAGCCTGCCAGGAGCCACAGGGCTCCGGCACTCACTAGGTATCAGGTCAGGTGAAAGTGGAGCAAAAAGCCGGAAGCAGTGAGGGAGAAGAGCAGGACTGGGCAGCAGCAGCCTGGCTCCTGTGAGCAGCCAGGAGATGCATCTCTCCCTCCAGAGGGGGTCAGGGTCCTGGGTGTCCCCTGGGCAGCAGCAGCCTGGCTCTGGTAAGCACCCAGGAGATGCATCTCTCCCTCCAGAGAGGGTCAGGGTCCCAGGTTTCCCCTGAGGCACCTGAGCAGATGGGAGGAGTCCCTCCCAGTGAGGCTGGGGCTTGGAAAGGTGCCAGTTCGATGGCTGGTGTCACAAGCAAAGACTCACTCACGCTAAGGAGAAGCAGTGCAGAACAGTAGCAGTGAATCCCTCCGCAGCAAAACCCGAAAACCCAAACCCCACCTGTCTCCCCTCTGATCCCAAGGGCACTGAAGGCCAAGCCCAGCCCCTGACCTCCAGCCCAGGCACACCTCTGCCTTTCCCAATAGAAATCCCTGCAGCTAAGGGACAGTAGCAAACTGCACCCCTTTTCCTCCCCACCCCACAGTCCCCCCCTCCCCTGCCACATCTTTTGTCTCAAATACCCATTGTTCTCATCTCTTAGGCAACAAACAGCAGAAAAACTCTCTGAGAGAAAGAGAAAAAAACCACTCAGAAACACAAAAGGACCAAAGGACCATGGTTAACACGAAGAGAACTTTACTTTTTTACTGACCAGAAAATGTGCCCAGCTGACTTTCTGGTTCGGGTTTGTAGTTCCCCCTAACTTCGCAAAGCAAAGCTCAAATACTTGAACGCCACTCCTAATTTATGGCAGATGCCTGGAAACCCCTGCCTGTCTGTCCTGCTGCTGCCTGGAGAGCAGGGCAGGGTGTCAGGTCAGGCACGGGGAGCTGTTAGCAGATGACGTAGCGGATGAGCCCCGAGCCACGAATCTCTCTCACTCTCTGGCAGTGCCTCAGGATGCTGAGGATGCTGTGGAACCTCTTGTCCAATTTCAGCTGAGTGAACGCCTTGATATCATCCGCCACAATAAAAAATGCTCCTGGAAAACAGACAGCGGTTTTGTTACAGAAATTACTCTGCTGTGGGATACCCTCAGCATTCCACAAGTGACAGCACAGCCTCTTCTTCATCATTCCACAATCTACAATTCATAATTCTACAGTCAGTAGGACGGCTTCACACTATATTGGGAACTTTGTTCTACTTTTAAAACCTGTCGTAAGAAAGAGAATTTTCAGCCTTCCCTGAAGTTCAGACACTCTGCACCATCCACAGGCCCCACTCCATGAGCTCTGTCTCCCAGCAGGCACTCACGTTCTGGAATTAGATCTCTGCCATAAGGACAGAGCCCTGCATGCATCAGAGCTATGCAGCCCACCATTCCCTTGACTTATATCAGATTTGGAAAAGAATGATCCGTCATTACTTAAGAAAATCACAGGAAAAGACTAATCACTCTCAACAGCATTGTCCCTGTGTCTCCAAGAAAATGGCACAGGGAAGTCCTGCATCAAAACTGAGAGCTCCCCCCTTCCTTCAGTTGATTAACTACTTCTATAAGCAAATTGTCATTAAAATTCAGGCTGCCCAGGGCAGTGGTGGAGTTAACATCTCTGGAAGTGTTCAAAAAACTGTGTGAATGTGCCCCTGGGCAGCAGCAGCCTGGTTCTGGTAAGCACTCAGGAGATGATCTCTCCCTCCAGAGGGGGTCAGGGTCCTGGATGTCCCCTGGGCAGCAGCAGCCTGGCTCTGGTAAGCACCCATGGTGAACATGCTGCTTGATTGGCAGTTGGAATTTGTGATCTTAAAGACCTTTTCCAACCTAAATCATTACTGAATTATGTGTAGTATCACGCTTCCAAGTCTAATGGGAAGGAGGACACAAGGGAAGGGGTGTTTCAGTTTAGAAGAAGAAGACCACATTCTCCCTCCTTGCTTTATCCTTAACACTGAGGCAGTGACATCTTAGAAAAAATGGAGCATCTCTTCCTCCTGTTAAGTCCTTCCAGTTTCACTGGGATATAGCTGATACAAGCTGGAAAATGATGCTGCCAGATGCTGCCAGATGCTGCCAGAAAAGAACTGAGGTCCAACAATTATGTTTGTAAGTGCAATGTCCCCCAAAATCTTGCTCAGACAGAGCTGAGAAATAACAGATCATGTTTTCTCACAGCCTGGGCCTCTCATGAGAGTTGGTGACACACTTGTCTCACAGGGAGTAGAATCTTCCAGAGACAATAACTGTCAAAATCTAGAGATATTTCCCCAGAGAGGAACTCTGCTGGAATCTCAGAGCTTGTAACGCCACCAAATCCACATACAGATGAGAAGTAGGAAGTTTGTTTACCAGGAAAAGAAAGAAGATCTGCATTACTGCTCAAATTAGAAAACGTCTCAAATAGAGACCATTTACAATTTCCAGGGACACCAACACACCCAAACAGTGTTGGGAAGCCAGGCATAACCTGCCTGCTGCCTTCGCACTCTGTTACGTCTGGGGGAGCATCAGAACGCCCTGAATTTTGATAAAACAAGATTCCTTCTTATATTTGCTCACAACCCAGAGTGGCAACATTCAGCAGAGCAGGATCTTTTTTGTGAAGAAATCAGAGCTGGGTGAAGGGCAGTGGTTTGGTCCACGTGCTAAACAACCAGCTAAACTCACTGAACCACCTGAGTGGCTGGAAGTGACCCCGATAAACCAGGCAGCATCTTCTCTCATCTTGAAATCAGAGAAGAGGTCAGCTGGCAATTGGCCCAGGCTGAGAACCAGTGGGAATCCTAAGCAGAGAGACACTCACAGGAGAGATTTAAACAAACAAATCAATGAATGCAGAACGTCATCCTGAAAAATGGAATGGATAAAGACATTTAATCATTTTGTGCTGGCCAGATAAGAACCATCTGACAGCCTTCCAGGACTTTTCTCTTGGCTTTCTAAATGATTAATCACAAAAAAAACTAAACAAAACCATCTACCACACAACTACACTCGCTCTATCAGATGCTGAATGTCCTAGTTTCCTAACTGAGCTTCTCAAAATAAACAAGAAATAAAGAACATCTCTCAGGTACTTAAAGCAATTAAGCACTTCAGTTTTTCAGAATTAAGGCCCACAGCTGACAGAAAATTCTCTGTTTTTCAGAATTAAGGCCCACAGCTGACAGAAAATTCTCTGACTAGCTGTGGCTTTCTCAAGTTGCTGGAATGGCTTCCTCACTGCAGCCAAGACTGCTGTGGATCACAGTGCAGATTGAGCATCACTCCAGGCCCAGGAGGGCCCTTCTAGTGTTCAGCCTCTCTTCTACAGCTGTGGGCTCAAACTCTTTACTACTGTCCTAAGGACAGGAACAGTCACACCAAAAATGTGCTGTAAATTAAATTGATGAAGCCAGTATATTAAGAAATCCAGATTAATATAAGCTGCTGTTCAACTGAGGCAAAACATGCTTAGAGAGAAGCCAAACCATCACAGCCCAAACCAAAAGTGAGTCACACAAATTTATCTAGCTGCATTAGAATGAATTTACCTAGCTGCATTCCGTGCTTAGATCCATTTTAACAAAAACCTTTAAACAATGACCTTTGTATGGCAATTGAGATCTCATCTGGAGTCCTGTGTCCAGCCCTGTAACTGCAGCACGAGAAGGAGCTGGAGCTGCTGCAGCCAGTGCAGAGGAGGCCACGGAGCTGCTGCCAGGGCTGGAGCCCCTCTGCTCTGGAGCCAGCCTGGCACAGCTGGGGCTGCTCAGCTGCACAAGAGAAGGCTCCAGGGACACCTCAGAGCCCCTGCCAGGGCCTCCAGGGGCTCCAGCAGAGCTGCCCAGGGACTGGGGACAAGGCCTGCAGGGACAGCAGCCAGGCAATGGCTCCCAGTGCCAGAGGGCAGGCACAGATTTTGGGCTCTTGGCAATTAGGAATTGCTGGCTGGGAGGGTGGGCAGGCCCTGGCCCAGGGTGCCCAGAGCAGCTGTGGCTGCCCCTGGATCCCTGGCAGTGTCCAAGGCCAGGCTGGATGGGGCTTGGAGCAGCCTGGGACAGTGGAAGGTGTCCCTGCCCATGGCAGGGGTGGAAGTGGCTAATACTGAAGGCCATTTCCAATCCAAACCATTCTGTGATTCTGTGTTTATCTTACAGGTCTCAGAACAAAGTTCCAGCATGTCCATCGGATCAGAACTCCCTCCCTATAGAAAAGCTGGATCTAGAACCCAGAAGTCACTGATGTTATCATCATACTATAATATCCAGAGCCTTGAAGAGCAACAAAACCGAAGGAAGGAAGAAAAAGTTGCAGTTTATGTTCAGGGCACTCCTGAGTACCCAGTGAATGCTCAGGGCAGAAGTTCTAGCATTGTGTCCAGGCCTAAAACAGAAGGTGGGTACCATGGTGTTGTCAGACACAGCTCTTTTTATGTGAGACAGAAAACAGTTTGCTCCACTCTTTATGCCTGAACTTGGAAACATGAGGGCATTTTAAGGACATCCCCAAGTCTGACATGTGCAGTATGCCTCTCCAGGAATAATTATGTACTTGTTCTCAAGAGGAAAGGCATGCCAAAAAGGAGATTTTTATATCAGAGACTTACTGTGCCACATGTTTTTGGAAAAATCTATAGACTGTAAGTGCAACTTACTTTTCAACTGAAAGAAAGGTATTTTGGTTTTCATTACCTCTATGCTTTTAAGAGGAGAAAACTTCTTAAGATTATCAGACAGACTTACCTCTTCCACAAAGCCACTGCAGCACAATAAATTAGCCAGATTTCCCAGCTTCAGAACAAATTTTTAATAGTTCATGTCCAACCAAGTTTAACACCTGAGAACACATTTCTATGGTTTGGTTATCAGACTAAGAGTTTCCAGAACTTGTAATGATTCCAAACTAAATCTTTGTGCACTCAAAGTTTCTGCCATGACACACCATCAAAGGGACGTATTTTTCAAAGAAAACATTCAAAAAGTGAGCCAATAACTATGGGAAACTCTTCAGTCAAAAATACTGAAAAAAAGACCAGTATTTTTATACTTCTGCTGCAACATCCAAGTGTTACGAGTTTGGGAATAACAAAGGGAAAACAAAATACCTTTTGTATCCTTAGTTTCTTCTTCTATGAACCTGTGGTAGAGGTTTCTGACTGGTGCACTCATAGACTTCAAAGGCTGATACAAGATCTTGTACTTGCCCACCACGGCCTTGTTAATCTCTTGAACAACCGCATTAATCTGATCGTATGTTATACGGCCTTTCAAATACCTACAAATAAAAATAAGAATCAGTAACCAGAAAGTCACATAGTTCTGTGTTTATTCTTCTCTTTCATCTGCCCTAACTGAAGAAGCCATTCCTAGTTAGAGGTAGTTTCTCCTGTTTTGTATTAAGGAATATATCTAGTAGTTAATTCTGTTCATTTCCTTGATTGCTTAACAATCCTGAAGGTAAAAAGGCCATGACAGAACCTAAACCAGAAAGATAAAATATTAGAAAGCTAAATTAAGAAGCAGAATGCATTCAGTACTTAAGCTGTAAAAAGCTTTTCAAAATGGAATAAAGGTTGCTTTTATAGCGTACCACTTAAACACAGAAAAATAAAGCAACTTTGCAGAAAACATCATGAAATGAAATGTCTGCCTAGGAGCACAACTTGGCTCATATTATCATCATGAATGAGCTGTGTTTGATGTCACAGCCATTTATTGTTTGGCCAGGGCACTGAACAATCTGGCAGCGGGTGTGGAGCGGGGCTGGAGCAAAGCAGCCCCGTGCCCACCATGGGCCCTTTTTAAAATTTGTTTGTTGGTTTGTTAATGTCTGTTTGGTTGGTTTTTGCTTTGTTTTTGGGTTGTTTTTTTTTTTTTTTTTGATGTGGCACTAAGTGCCATGGTTTAGTTGAGGTGTTAGGGTATGGGTTGGACATGATGATCTTGAAGGTCTCTTCCAGCCCAGTGATTCTGTGATTATTTGGTGTTTTTTGATGAGCTACTAGTCGTGTGTTGCCTTCTGCATTTGGCTGTGCAGCTTACTGAGCTGTGAAGATAAGGTTCTGCACCACCAGCATCCATTTCTGAACTCTCAGAGCTTTTCATAACACTAGTACTGGAAGAATAAGGTCTGTTGATAACAGCCTAGAGGTACAGGAAGCACAGAAGATAAAGAACAAAGTGATGTGGAAATACTAGAACATTGGACGATTTGCAAGGCTATTCAGTATTTATAGATGTAAAGCCATGCCTTCAAGGAAAAGGAACTGTGCTGCACACTGAGAAACCATTATATAAAAATGAAATCTGAAACTCAAATGACAAGCATTAAGCTAAATACAACACAACCTTCCTTCCCCCCCCTCCAAAAATGGCAGTAAAGGCCGGGCCAGCCATGCAACCTGCATTGTCCTGTGGCCTGCATTCAGTTGCTACGACAAACCCAACCTGGCTGTTTGTGTTTTGTTCAGTATGGGTTTGCAGACCTGAGGAATTACACAAGTGTCACAATTCATTTTGAGAATGAATGCTCTAGGTCAGTAGAGCAGGTGGCCAAAAGCTGTGGGACAGCAAGACTGAAAAGATCAATGAACAGCAAGCTCCTCCCTCATTTTAATCTGAGCAGACAGGCTCAATCTTTGGAGAACACACAACGAATTCAAAGCAGAAGTAGATAATCAATTACAAGTTCAGTATTCCAAACCAGAATTCAGACAGACATTCTGCAATTGCCAACTCAAAATAAGTGCTGTAGATTTCAACAGCAGCCAGTCCCTGCCAGGCAGACAGGCCGGTGAGGTGTGTAAAACTGAATCCAAAGCAATTGCTCTGCCTCCAAACCGAGTTTGAAACTTATTAGCCACTAAGTTACTTGCAACCAGCTTTCCACTTTATTGACACCTCGCTTAATTCAGCGTTGGGGGCGCAGCCGTGCCGTAGCTATAAAAACGCTCTACTGTGCCCAGTGATAGAGCAGCGCTACCCCCCGGCCATGCAGCCGCGGCTGGGGCACAGCCTGTGAGCACAGCAGGGCTCTGCCTGTGCGCATTAACTGCTGCTTATTGCTCTCTCTGCCGCCCTGCGCCGCAGGGGAGCGAGGAAGGCTCGGCCCAGAGGTTGGAAACACCTTTATTTAAGGGCCTGTGCTCCCACTGTCAACACACAGACAGTGAACTCGCTTCATAAAGCCCAGGCAGCACCTCAGCTCCTCCTGAAACTGAAACAGAGAGGCACGACTGGGTTGCCTAAACCTAAACACAAATGTTCTTTGAGAGGCCCTCGGGCATCCAAGATGCTTTAATCTGAAATTAAACCCTGTCAAAACCAAATGGAATTTTTATTCTGTGCGTAACTAAGGATCATAAAAACTCCAGCTGTCCCACAGCCCTCTCATGTTTCTACCCAACCATGGCTGGCAAACCCGTTAATGCTGACATTTATTTCAGTCCATATGTACGCTAATATAAAAATACAAAGTTGAGAAGCTCCAAATTCAGGCATTTAATTTAGATTTAAAATAACTTTAAAATCTGCTTCACTATTCCAAATGCAGCAAAATTCAAAACTCTTCTAAAAAAGATCCAGTCAGTTTCTTTTTTTAATCCACAGAAGCCCTTTTTCAAAGCATTTTTTCTATAGGTATGAAAACCAGAGCACAGTGCCGTGTTCCTCAGAGAAAAGAATAACATCAATATAACACATATATGCCACTCTAAAAGAGATAAAGCTTGTAATGGCCACCCCTGCTCTCTCAAAAACGGTTGGGCTAAAATAACCATGTATTCTCCCAAGCCACCATCTTTTGAGACTTGAGAGTTATAATGAATGCACAGAATCTAAAATGCTTTCAGAGATTTTTTCTAACATTTTTAGAAAGGAGTAAGAATGGTAGACACAGAATAAAGCAAACATTTTCCTCTGCCTCAAAGTCAAAAGTTAACAAAGACAGGTACTGTGAAATGTCCTTTATCTTCCTCCAAAAAGCACCTTCCTGCAACAGATTTGAAGGGTAAGATAATTTGCAGGTTTTTTATTGTGCAAAGTGCTCTGTTTGATCAGGGTGCTCCATATCTGCCCCTTAACACAGTGTATACCTTTGCTAAATGCCAGCTGCCCAGTCCTAGGACTATGAAGTCACTGAAGCCTGTGTCCCTTTTAGTGGCCTGATGGTGTTAGGAATAGATTTTCCTTCATGTTCAGCATAAAGCAAGTGAAAACAGCCTCAATTTTTCAGTGACCACCCCCCACCTCCAGTGCTCACCTGAAGAAATGGGCCCTGAACCAAATTCTCATTCTTCCAAGAGAATACATTCAGTGTAAGAGAATTTGTATTACAAGTACTTGCTGCTTAGATTTGGTCAATCAGTATGTGAAATTGCAAGTACTCCCTCAATCTTGTACTACAACATTGCCAGGCAACAGAAATACTGGTAGATTAATAGATCTATGTAAATTCATGTAAATTTTCCTCCACAGAACAAACATGCTTCTCCCATCTGAATAAAATTAAATTATTTCTAGAGCTCTACCAGCACAGTCTAAGCTGCAACCTTTCCATAATGGGTACCTTCCAACACAGCTGCAACATTTCCACAAGGGCTGCCCTCCAGCTCAGCTTATTCTGTGGTTTTGTGAATCTGTAATGGATAGCAAGAGGATCATCTGGCCTCTGTCCCCATCCTCCACGCCCATGAACAGCAGAGGAAAACCTTCCACTTTCAAGGGTTATCATAAACTCCTTTAAGAGGGAAAAGCCCTCTGAGATCATCGAGCCCAAGCTCTCCCCCTGCATGGCCAAGGCCACCACTAAGCCATGCCCCCAAGTGTCTTTCCACCTGTCTTGTGGTGTGGAAGATCATAGCCTTAAGTGGAAGTTAAAACAATATTTGTCTGGAATGGTCTGTGTCTATTTTTCTTACCACAGCAGAAATAAAGGCCAAAAATTCCTAGGCTCTGGCTTTATCCTCTCATAATTTTATCAGGAGAGAACTACCCAAGGGAGTAAATCCACAAAATCCACCTGACATCTTCTGCAGAATAAAAATACCAGGTGCATCCTCTTCTAAGAAGTCCTTTATCATTAGCTCAGTATTCAGGATAAGGAAGAAAATGGGCATTACTCACCTGAAAATTCTGAAGGCTATAGATAAAAATTATTGGAAAGCCTTAAGTAAAGTACAGACTCAAAACCATATTTCTTACTGAAACGGGTATTGTCAGGGAACACAGTAAATCTAGAATCTCAATAACAATCTAGCCTTAGGCATCAAGAAAAATTTCTTCTTCTTGCAGAAGCATTTACCCATGCCACCCAAATGCCCTTTAAGAAGTTATTCCTATATATCAGACTTCAGACAAGGATATTAATCGGGTCCTGATGTTAGGGGAAAACACCCACAGCTTTCTATTCCAGAAGTTTGGGAATTTTAGTGCAAAGTGGTTTTTTTTGCTTTTAACAAGTCTGATTCCTTTTCCTGTCTCAAAACAGATTGCTAAGTCAAGACTTGAGGTTTCCAGAAACCAGTATTTGGGTCAAATAAAACCAGCACTTATCACTGTTTTTCTTTCTATATGTAAACAAACCCTCCATGTTATGAGATGATGGCTCTTTTTTTAATGACAGTTCTCAAAACAAGATGAGGATTCACCTGTTAGCTAATAAATCTCTGTCCATACAATTACAGTGACTTTTGAGATAAGAGGTTTGGGTTTTAACTGATCAGTTTTCATCTTCCCGATACCAGCATAAAGAGGGGCCCAATTAATTAATTCAATTTTCAGGTTTGCTAGCAATGCATTTAAACCATTTGAGGCCGTTGTCATGTTTCACCCCATGAAATATTTAATCTCTGTCAGTCCCAGTTCTGCAAGAGGTCACTCTCCCAAACCTATGTGTGCCACCCAAACTGATATGCCAGGGTACAAGGGGAGCTGCGCTTACTTACGCAGGAACACTTTCAAACTCCTCTGTGGTTATTAATGCTGCTTCTTTAATGACTTTTTTCTCTTTTGCAGGTTTCTTCTCAGTGTTGGGTTCTACAGCCTTTGTTTGTCCTTTGTGTTTCACAGTTGGCACGACATAAAAGCTGTAAAATGAAGGAATATTCAGTGCACAAACAGCAGGTAAGTAGGAAGGAGAATTCCGCTACACTGCTTAGTCACAGACCTAAGTTCCAGCCTGCTAGGCTGGATGAACACAATTAGTGATATTTCACAAAAGAAACATCAGTAAAGCAAGCCTACTCTGTTTCAAATCATATCCTTCAGCTGACTTCAGCACAGCTCTTGGTTTCTGTGCTATAGAGGCTGCTAGCAGGTGAGCTGGAAGCAGTCCAAGTGCAGCATGGCACAGCTCAGAATTCAATGTACCATTGCATTTCACACAACGCAAGGCCTGGCTTTTTATCAGATAAAACACAGCCCAGAGCTGCAGCCTTAACGGGCAGATTTGAAATACTTCATAGCTCTTTGAAACAGGTTCAAATCTTGGGAAGCCTGTCTCATCCATTAAACTTTTGAAGCAAAGAAATTCTACACCACCTAGCAGCAGACACTTAAAAAAAATTTTAGGCAAGATCCAAAAGGTCAAAGAATTCCCTGATTTATTCCTGATTATTAGAACATTATTTTTATAAATTCATCCTTCCTCTAAACCCTCAGCTTAGAGCCTCAAACCCCAAGGGATTTACCAGCCACCCAGCTGCTCCTGAGCAGGACAGCAAAAGTGATGCATATGGCCAAATCCACTGTTGTCAGAACATGGACATACAGAATTACATAAAGCAGTACAGAGCTGACCTGGACAAGGAAATAATCCTCTGCTTGGATCTGACCGTCCCACAAGAGATCATTGCTGCACATGGGGTCCAGGGCAGTGAATGGCAGGGCATGCCCCATCTGTCCCCGCCAGGGGCAGGATTTGAGGTGCCACTGCTGTGCTCCCCGAGGAACAGGAGAGGACAGTGCCGTGGAGAGGACAGTGAGTGCCACCTGCTGGGCTCCCACACCGCCTGCTCGCTGGCAAGGGGCTGGGAGCAGCTCTGCTCTGCGCTGGGACACAGCACAGAGCCCGTCTGAAACCAGCACATCTGCAGCCAAACTACCGCAGATGTCGTCATCTGGAGAACATCTGTTTGCATCTGAACAACAACAACAACAGAACGAATCCTGGCACCCTGCAGCTAGCAGGGAATGTCAGCAAACTGGAGGGACAGGAGAGGGGGGTGCATTTTGGGTGGTGGTGGGGGAGGTGGGTTTGGAGTGAAAGGATAAACACAAGAACCAAGGCAAGCAAGTTCACATCTTGAAACTTCATTCCTCCCACGCTGCAGTCTCCTGCTGCCTATCACACTGCAACAAACCTTTTCTAGATGATTCCAATATCCAAGCACCCTTCCTTTGTGTTCCCACCCACTCCTTTGCCCCTGCACTGCTGCAGTGAGGTGGTACAGACACAGTTCACCACTGACCTGAACCATGAAAAGGAAATACTTATGCTTGTTTACAAAATCTGGCTCTGGTGGAATGAGAAACTGAATCTCAACAAACACAGGGGATACAAAGATCTTGAGAGATATTGAACTTGCTTTTTATTTCAGTGAGATTCCTCTGGTAAACAAGAACAGAAAACCCAAGGAGAGAAACAATAGCTAAAGCCATAAATCGCTGAGTTTCTCTATGTGGGTGTTTTCATTTTCCCAGGGACTTCAAGGCCTGTCTCACCAGCATTCAAGTGCTCCTCTGCTTTCTGCATTATCTCACAAAAATCACTCAGCATTAATATTCACAGCCCCACACATCCGGGAACAGAAAAGGAGGGGGCCAGGAAAGGAAGGTTTGGGGAAGAGGCCTGAAAACATATTTACACTGATACAGTGGGTTTTGAACAATTATGTCCCTTCTTACACTTCCTTGACCCTCCACTGCACAAAAGAGTGAATATCAAGAAGTGACAAAACGGGGAAAAAAGAAGAAAGTGTGTTTTGACAAATGGCATCATCACACAATGTATCATTACTCAAGAAAAACCAGCAACAAACTGACACTGAGAGAAAAGCAGCTGTGAGCTGGCCCAGCACAATCTGTAGAAAATTATCAGAAAAGCTTGGTTGGTTTTACATACTCTGGTTCTCTCTAGAAAGGGAAGAACTGGCTAAAGTCATATCACAATTAACTTCCTAATCACAAGCAGGACAAGACTGTAAGGGAAACCAACATCCCAAAGAATCTTTTGGTGTCAGAGGTGGCACAATTACTGAACAAGCCTCCTTTACACCTAAACAATTTCCAGGAGCTAACACAAAGTTAAGACAAAGGATTTCCCACAATAAGAAAGTAAGTTATGGCAGAAAGGCAGAACCCAAGTGGTAATTTCTGAAAACCTTCAATTTTTACACATAAAAAAGCAACATCTAAATTGAAAAGGAACACATCATCCCAGGAGACATTTTGAGAGGCTGTTTCCTAAACTGAGGGGTTCATCTCTAAAGGGTGAGAACAAGAATAGTCATCCCTTCACCAGCTAAGAACAATTTCAATACAATACCTACACCAACGACCATACTGCTATACACCAACAAAATTTACCATTTATTTTTCTCTTTTAGAGCCCTCTTTCCACACATTTAACCTTTTACTTTGCTGGAACGGGTCTGTCACGTTTTGAGACAGGTTTCTCTGGCATGAGGATCCAGACCAAGTGAAGCTGGTTAATTCAGGGCACATACTGGAAGCACTGAGTTCAAACTAATGGCCTGCCTTCTGACAGGCTACGAGGTGGGAAAGAAACTCTGGGATCCCCAGATAATGAGGGTCACTCTGCAAGTGACCCCACCTGACACACACTAACAACACTCCATAAAAGAAAGCAGCTCCAACAGGATGGAGAAAGAGATGACAAACTCAGAGTTGAAATGTCTTAGAAGCTTTTCCAGTAACATTAATTCTGTTAATTAAGTAACGTTAGTTCTGTTAAAACAGTTAATTCATGTACTTGTCATTTTCACATACTTGGGCTACTTGACTCTGAAAAGCTTCTTACCACAGCTCTCTCCAAGGCAAGGGGATGTCATAGCTAGCTGAAATAAATGCAGGATTGCTGTAGGGAAAAGAGGACAAAACTACCACAAACACAATTCAAAGTCCGGCAGAACGACAACTGAGTTAGAGGATTTTTGGTTTTTAAATGTATTTAGAAGGGCAGTGGTGAACTTCAGTTCGAGTGACCCAGCATTTGGGTCACTAACCCTCTAATGAGTAGGCACTGCAGTTACAAAAGTGATGTGTTTGTGTTTCTAAAGGAAGGGATGCCCAGACTCAGAGAAGCACTTTCTTTCTACTACATCACACCTAACCCTGGAAGCTCCCATTGGAACAACCTGGGATTTTATAGACTTGACCTGACAGATTTGCTGGGGTGCTAGCACAAGCCTGGACAAGAGCCAGCTCCAGAATCAACAGACACAACAACTTTGGCTCCCGAAGTTCCCCAGTTAATGCAGAGTGAAAGGAGCACAGCTGTAGAGCGCTGCAGCCGGACAGTGCCAGGAGCAGCCCAAATCCCCTGGGCTCAGGTACCACATACCGGCTCTGGGGCTCAGGCAGATAGCGTGGAATGTGTTCAAGGAGGTGCTGTGCTTCCTCCTGATCTCTCTCAGCAGCCTTCTGCATCTCCTGAAATTGATACCAGACTATATCAGAAATCTCATCCCACCAATATCAAGCAAGTAAAATTAGGGCAACAGTAAATTAATTTTCAGCTTTTCTAAGAGGTGCCTTTTATTTCTCCCCATCATCTTACCTCCTTATTCCATAATTTCCCCAGGAAAACCAGTAAAGATACAAAGGAAGGAGCGTCTGTCCTTGCCCTCAGAATGTCAGAGAAACTTGAGCAGGCAAAAGGAACTTTAGCAATACATCCTGAGCAAGGTCTGGTTGGGGAATGGTGGTGGTGAAGATGAGATACTGTGGTAAACTCACCACCATTCCCCAAACAACATTTGCACAAAAGACTTAACAAAAGCACTGCAAACATTCAGTAGAAAAGCAGACAAATATTCTAATTGAATACTTTGTGCAGCTATTGCAAAGATGCATAAATAGAATTGCTTTTTAGATCACTGTATCTATTATGATAAAGACATGCTTTCAAGGCCAGTGACAAAGACATGATTTTGATGTCCTTAGGATGAAGGAAGATAGACTTAGATTAGATATTAAGAATAAATTCTTCCCTGTGAGGGTGGGCAGGCCCTGGCCCAGGGTGCCCAGAGCAGCTGTGGCTGCCCCTGGATCCCTGGAAGTGTCCTAGGCCAGGCTGGATGGGGCTTGGAGCAGCCTGGGACAGTGGAAGGTGTCCCTGCACATGGCAGGGGGTGGGATGGGATGAGCTTTAAGGTTCCTTCAGATTCAAACCATTCTACAATTCTATGATTCTATGTACAAGCCTTGAAAAATACAATTTTTAATGTTCGTTGTTCTGGAGAACTGCTTGACAAACCACCAGCAAGCCTGTTCCAAGCCCCAGTTTCTCTTGTAAGCACATGCATCCAAACATCACTAAGAATCTTGGAAAAAAAGTGACATACGTATCAAAGATTTCTTTGAATCTTTCAGTATTTTATGAACAGGAAAAAAAAAAAGGATTACTTTGAGCGAATCTTTCAGTTTTTCTTGCTGTTTAACTTCATTTTCCATTTTATTCAGGAGATCATGTACAAGGATCACCTCATTCTGTATTTTATTGAGCACAGGCTTGCGGGAATCATCCTTACCTGTAAAGGAGAGAACATTTAGCTACAAAGTCTCCAACAAAAAAACAAAATCCAATATTCCTCCCCTTCACAAGCCGTGATTATCTAACTCCCTGCTCCTCAGCCACCGTATCCATCCAAGAGAAGCAGCAAGACAAACTGTCAGCCTTGTACTCCACACAGCCAACAGAGTTCATGGAATCACTTAGCTTGGAAAAGCCCTCTAAGACCAGGTCCCACAGAGCACTGTCAAGGCCACCATTAACCTGTGTCCCAAGTGTCACACCCACATGGCTTTGAAATCCCTTCAGGGATCGGGATTCCACCACCTCCCTGGGTGGATTCCTGACCTCCCCTTCCATGGGGAGATTCCTGCTGGTGTCCACCCTGAGCCTGCCCTGGCCCAGCCTGAGGCCGTTCCCTCTGCTCCTGTCCCTGTTCCCTGGAGCACAGCCCGACCCCCCCGGCTGTCCCCTCCTGTCAGGAGCTGTGCAGAGCCACAAGGGCCCCCCTGAGCCTCCTTTGCTCCAGGCTCAGCCCCTGCCCAGCTCCCTCAGCCTCTCCTGGGGCTCCAGCCCCTTCCCAGCTCCAGCCCCTCGGTGTCTTTCCTGGAGTGAAGTGCAAGCCAAACCCCACTGTAGCTCTTGTTTACCTATGTCTCTCAATAGGAGACACTTTTTAATATTTGAAATCTTCATATTGATGTGGAGGCACAAATCTTCCAGGCTTGAGGATTCCATATCCTTCATCATCACACTGAGGGGGAACAAAAATGAAGGTAGGAATTTAACACAGACCCGAGTTGCAAACATTGCCTACAAAAGCAGAATTTTTAGAAAGACACAGATCTTTCACAGAAGCAAAGGGAACATAAATGAAATAGTAAATGGAGTAGTTATTTTTTGTCTAAATTGAAAGCAGGAAAGGAAGCATAAAGTGGCACTAGACAAGACAATAATTTTCCCAGAACTTTGGAGATAAATGCATTGTGATATCTGTGCAGCGGTTCCTCATGAGACTGGGAGCATCCTTATTACATAAGTGTGCAATAAAAAAGAAATTGGAGTTTACTGCAAAAACCAAGAAACACCTGGATTATATGAGGCAGTTTTAGAAGATTTTCTCAGGGAGACTACATCAGATGATTAATGTTTTAGAAGGTGTGTTTTTTTTAAAAACAATTAAGCAAAAAAAAAAAAAAAAGTGTTAGCAGAGTTATTAATGAAGTCTGGAAGCATCAAAAAGAGCATTACATATCGATTACTATATTGTCTATAATAATAGAGTCGTTAACTCTATTATAGACAGGAATTGATTAAAAGAAAAAATTATGCAATGTGACAAACACCCGCATTTAACACTGTGGCCCTGAGCGCTCACACAGCTCCCTCCGATGGCTCACACTTGGAAACTTTTAAAACGCCTTTATTTCGCTTTTGGCTTAAAATACTATCAACTACCGCGCTTATTAAACCCGTTCTTAGAGACCTGCCGCCTCCCCCACCCTCCGCACCTGCGTGGAACCAGGGCCCTCCGAGGCGGATCGGGATGCCCTGAGAGGATCGAGCTCACCCCTGCGCCCGGCGGCAGCGCCCGGTTCTCCTCAGGTTTCACCGGGCCCAGCGCCGGTGCTGCCCGGCCTTTGTCCCTGTTCCACTCCCTCAGGAGGAGGAGGAGGGCGTTCGGCCGGGGCTGGAGGGCGCTCGGCCGGGTTGGAGGGCGCTCGGCGGGGTTGGAGGGCGGGCGCTCGGGAGCGGCTGCCCCGGTCCGGGTGGAGCCCCGGTTTGAATCCGCCGCGCTCGGGCGGGCGTTGGGGAGGGCGGGCAGGGCGCGTGCGCGCTGAGGGGAGAGCTCGGGGCGGGCGGAAAGGGCGGAGCGGGGCAGCGCTGAGGGAAAGCCGGGCGGGAAGGGCGGGAGCGCTGAGGGGAATACGGGGTACAATGTTGGGCACTTAAGGAGATTGTGGGCTAGGTGAGGGTCAGTCTCTTCTCCCAGGCAGCCAGTGATAGGACAAGGGGATATGGTCTCAAGGTACGCCATGGGAGGCTCAGGTTGGACTTCGGGAGGAATTTCTTCATGGAAAAGGCGTTCTGGCCATTGGAAGGGGCTGCCCAGGGAGGTTTGGAGTCCTCATCTCTGGAGGTGTCCAAGGAACGCCTGGACATGGCACTCAGTGCTGTGGTCTGGGTGACAAAAGGGGATCAGTCATAGGTTCGGCACGATCTCGGAGGTCTTTTCCAACCTTTGACTATAATTCTGTGAGTCTGGAGGGACTAGGAGGAAGGGCGTGAGGCGGGAGCTCTGGGGGGAGCGGGAGTGTGGAAGGTGTTGTCGTTTTTAGGAGCTCTGTGAACAAAGACACAGAGTTCACCTTAGAAACAAGACGTTGTTTATTCAGCGCAGCGTGTGAGGAGGACGTTCCCACTCATCAGCTTGCCAAGGGGTAAAAAGTTACATCTGTTATACAGTAAAGTTCACATGAACACGCCCGCTTACTGCATATTCTCCGCCCACCTAATGCCCATTTATTTGGGTGATGTAATCTTAACGCACGGCTTGAAACAAGCTCTTTCCTTCACTAGGCAAACTTCTCTCGTACAAGTAATTTCCCATAAGTTACGTTTACAAAAGGCGAGAAAAAACCTGAAAGTCATAAAGGACAGCGGGAGGGGAACGAGAGGGAAGGCGGGAACGGTGACGAAGGGAAGGGAAGGGAAGGGAAGGGAAGGGAAGGGAAGGGAAGGGAAGGGAAGGGAAGGGAAGGGAAGGGAAGGGAAGGGAAGGGAAGGGAAGAAGGTGGGGGCTGCTAAGGGAAGCAGGGCAGGAAGGCCAGGAGGGGGGAAGAGAGGCGGGATCACCGAGAAGAGCGGCAAGGAAGGGCGGAAGGCGGGGCTGCTGAGGGGAACGGAAGGAAGGCAGAATTGCTGAGGGGAATGGGAAGGAAGGGCGGAATTGCTGAGGGGAACGGTCAGGGAACCGGGCAGGAAGGGAAAGCGGGATCCCTGAGGGGGGCGATAGGGGAGGCCAGGTCGCTGAGGGCAGCCGAGCGCGAAGGGAGGCGGGATCGCTGAGGGGAGCGGCAAAGAAGGCGGGATTGCTGAGAGGAACGGGAAGGAAAGGCGGAAGGCGGGATTGCCGAGGGGATCGGTCAGGGAACCGGCCGGGAGGGGAAAGCGGGATCCCTGAGGGAGGCCGGGTCGCTGAGGAGAGCCGGACGCGCAGGGAGGCGGGATCGCTGAGGAGAGCGGGAACGAAAGGCGGAATTGCTGAGGGAGCCGGGCGGGATCTCTCTGAGGCAGCGTCCTCAGCCCCCCGCTCTGGTTCCGCCCCTGAGGACTTCGCTCCCTCCAGAGAATTGTGATAGATAGCATCGACCAACAACTGCCTCACTATTTATTACTTGGTTGTATAAATTCAGTTTATTTCAGCATTTAACAGAAGACAAAGCCCTCAATAAAAATTCAGCTTTCAACATACACATGATCATGCTGGTGTGTCTTCTATAGGACATTGTTACCCATTACTGCTTTTTTATCTCTTGGGGTAGGGACGGAGATAATTAAACAGTTTACACTGATCCCAAGCTATTTTTTTTTCTTTTTAGCTACAAATATAAAGGTTTATTTTACTGAGGACAGGCTGCTTATCTCTCCAAGGAAGGAATCAGCAGAATGTCTTGCTTTTCCACAATTTCTTGATACATAAAAGCTCACAGTTCCCTCTGTTCTTTATCCCCAAAATTCTGAAGAGCTTATAAACAGATTAACATACAAACGAGTTAAAGAAGGACTGTGTTAAAGCAGGGATACAATCCAATCTGTTCCAGCAGAACTAAGGAGAACAGAAATGTACAAAAGCAGTGCTACAGCATATTATTGAAATTGCTTAGTACAAGAATATATCTTTTTAGTATTTTAGCAGAAAAGCATGGTCAGGGTGGAAACGTGGCACTAATTCCCCCAGGCAAACCATAGAAAAAGGAGGAAGAAAATGTTCCAAAGCCCTGCTTCATAAGGAATTTTTAATGTCAATAATCAAGAGATTAAAAACAAACCAAAAGAGACAGTTCTGAGTCCAAAAGCTCAAAACCTGGGGTTTTTCATGTTTGCTAGCTGCTCCAAACCACACAAATGCTTGTTCTAGACTTTAAGTGTGGGGTTGTCTTGCCTAACAACCTCTGCAGTAAACAGAATTACAACATGTGACATAAGAAAAGGGAAAAAACCTGAAACTGCACAATCAGACATAGAAAAAAACCATACTACTGATCCCCATGCCTGTGAAGAGTATTTAAACCTGGCATTCAGAAGTTTCTTTTATTGTTTAAACCACATCATGGTAATGATCTGAGGTTTGTGCAGGCAACTGAAACCCCTCGTGAGGTCTCCACTAGTTTATTGATTAAAAGATAAAGTTTCTGCTGCATGTTTTCAGGGCAGAGGAAAGAAGGTCAGAAGAAAGTTTCTTTCTGGAGCCTACTACACCACCCAGTGCTACAGATAGTCACAGGTCCAAACTTAGCATAACGTTTCAGAAAACTGTGGGACGATCACAAGTCAGTTTCATCATCAGGAAGCAAGGTTGCTCTTCTCAGTTTATTAAGCAAACACCCCAGAGTAAAGAGGCTGATATCCACTTTCTTCTTTCTTGCAAGTAAGCACACAGACGCTCAGCATGCCGAAGAACTGGAAAAGAGGGAATGCACAAGGGACTTAGCCCTGCTGTGTTTCTGTTTCAGTTGTCAGGCTAAACACCCACACAGTGGATGACTTCATCATATGAAAAAAACTCATTTAAAAATACATCTGCATAAAGTGTTATTTTTGCATACCAATTCCCAGTAATAGTTCCGGCTGGAGTGTCTCCTCTCTGGTTTGTTGCATTAATTAATACATTCACATTAATTACTAGTTATCTTGCCATGGGGAAAATTTCAGTGAAAGGCTAGGATTGTTTGGGGATGAGTTCTCCGAACTATTTAAGCACACCTTTGGACAAGGAGTGCCAGGAATGGCTTCCCAGGGCCAGAGGGCAGGGACAGATGGGATATTGAGGAGTTGCTGGTTGGGAGGGTGGGCAGGCCCTGGCCCAGGGTGCCCAGAGCAGCTGTGGCTGCCCCTGGATCCCTGGGAGTGTCGCAGGCCAGGCTGGACGGGGCTTGGAGCAGCCTGGGACAGTGGAAGGTGTCCCTGCCCATGGCAGGGGTGGCACTGGATGGGCTTTAAGGTCCCTTAACACCCAAACCATCCTGGGATACTGTGACTATGATAAAATGGATTCCACATTGAATTTCCATCCCAAATCCCCTACTGTCTTTTGAATCCCTCCCATCATTGTGAGGCAGATGAAATGGAGATAGTGGGTAAAATACAAGTGAGGAACAGAGGACTGAGTCTCCTCCAGAGGCAGAAGAAAGCTGTAGGCTGTTAGGATGGTGAAGATGAAGAAGACCTGAGGTCCAAGGGCAAGCTACTATTTTCCGTGAGGGAAGAGGCAGGAGCATTTACCTTTACGATGGCAAACCCCAGGATTACAAGCATGGCATAGCTGATAACGCTCTGCAGCCCAGACTCCAGCTCCTGTGCACAGCCCTGCCGTGAAAGAGAGAGGTAAAAACATGTTAAAAGGTGTTCATCCAGCTGGAAGTTTTTATTATTTCCCCCCAGCTCTCCCAAGGCAGCAGGGCCTGGTAAGGCCTGTCTAATCAGCACTGCAGGTCTGAGGAACTCCATTCTTGTCTTGCAGACCTGAT